CGCCCAGCCGGTTCTATTTTTTTTTTTCCATATAGTTAAGTAATCATTTCAGTACTACTTATGATTTATATTTTCTATTTCCCCATGCTAATTTGTCATGCCAATGCAGGCATATATTATGATCCTATACCCATGTGGTCTGTTTCTGAACTTTATTCTGTTCCTTTTAATTTAATTTTATTTTTTTAGAGACAAGGCCTAGCTCTGTTGCCAGGTTGGAGTGCAGTGGTGTGATCATCGCTCACTGTAGCCTCAAACTCCTGGGCTCAAGCAATTCTTCCACCTCAGCCTCCTGAGTAGCCAGGCCATTCCATTTTTATATTTCTATATTCTTGTGTTAATACCAGGGTGTTCCGTTTTTATATTTCTGTATTCTTGTGTCAATACAATAGCATGCTGATCAGCACAATGTTAGAATCTTCATACCTTATGGGCAAGTCCCCACATCTCATTCTTCAAAATTGACATGGGTGGCTTTGTTATATATAAATTTTTTTTTTTTTTTTGAAACAGATTCTTTTTTTTTCGAAGGCTGGAGTGCAGTGGTGAAATCTCGGCTCACGGCAACCTCCGCCTCCTGGGTTCAAGCGATTCTTCCGCCTCAGCTGAGGTGGAAGAATTGCTTGAGCCCAGGAGTTCGATCTCTTGACCTCATGATCCATCCACTTTGGCCTCCCAAAGTGCTGGGATTACAGGCGTAAGCCACTGCACCCGGCCTCAATTTTTTTTTAAAAAAAGACATGGAATATATTTGTCATATACGTTTTACCATTACCTTGTCAAATTCCATAGAAAATGTGTAATGTTGAAATTTTGATTAGAATTACACTGTTTATAGATTAACTTGCTTAGAACTGACATCTTTATTTTTTTTCATGTCCCAGAATAAATAATACCTCTCCATTTATTCAGACCTTCTTTAATGTGTTTCAGTACAGTTGCATACCTTTTTCCCATATAAGTCTTTCTCATTTATTCTTTATATATATGTATATTTATTATTATTATTATTATTGAAATTGAATCTCATTCTTTTGCCCAGGCTGGAGTGCGGTGACACGATCTTGGCTCATTGTAGCCTCCGCTTCCCAGGTTCAAGCGATTCTCCTGCCTCAGCCTTCTGAGTAGCTGGGGTTATACGCAATGCACCACGACACCTGGCTAACTTTTTGCATTTTTTTTTGAGACAGAGTCTCACTCTGTCACCAGGTGCCAGGCTGGAGTGCAGTGGCGCGATCTCGGCTCACTGCAACCTTCCAGGCTCGGTCGATCCTCCCAACTCAGCCTCATGAGCAGCTAGGACTACAGGCACATACCACCATGCCCGGCCAATTTTTTTTCTTTGTTATTTTTTGTAGAGATAGGGTCTTGTTATGTTGCCCAGGCTTGTCTCAAACTCCTAGGCTCAAGTGATCTCCTTACTCCACTTCCCAAAGTACTGGGGTTACAGGTGTGGGCCACAGCACCTGGCCAGGAAGACTTGATTTCTGAAAAAGATCTCATTAAAAATTGCAATAAAGGCCAGGCTCAGTGGCTCACACCTGTAGTCTCAGCACTTTGGGAGACTGAGGCTGATGGATCACTTGAGTCCAGGAGTTTAATATCAGCCTGGGCTACATGGTGAAACACCATCTCTACAAACAAATAGAAAAATTAGCCAGGCATGGTGGCATGTGCCTACAGTACCAGCTACTCGGGAGGCTGAGGTGGAAGGATGGATTGAACCAGGGGCAGGGGTTGAGGCTATGGTGAGCTGTGATCACACCACTGCACTCTAGCCTGGGTGACAGAGTGAGACCCTGTCTAAAATAATAATAATAATAATAATAATAATAATAATAATAAAAGTCTTCCTATTAGAAAGGAATACTTCGGGTCAGGCACGGTGGCTCATACCTGTAATCCCAGCACTTTGGGAAGCTGAGGAGGGTATATCACGAGGTCAAGATATTGAGACCATCCTCGCCAACATGGTGAAACCCTGTCTGTACTAAAAATACAAAAGTTAGCTGGGCATGGTTGTGCATGCCTGTAATTCCAGCTACTCAGGAGGTTGAGGCAGGAGAATCACTTGAACCAAGGAGGCGGAGGTTGCAGTGATCCAAAATTACGCAACTGCACTCCAGCCTGGCAACAGAGCAAGACTACCTCTAAAAAAAAAAAAAAAAAAAAAGGAACAGTTTGTATTTTTGTATATTGATTTTGTCTCCAGAAACCTGAGAGCGATTGTGATAGGAGTGTGGCAGTGTGTCACATTACTAGATTTTCTGATGTTGTGTCCTTGCATTCCAGAGAACAGTCCTACCAGGTCATGACTAAATTCAATTTCTAGTAATTTATTTACTATTTTAAAGAGATGCTTTTGAACAGAATTTGTAATCTGAGAAACTGGCTGAACAGAGTGACTCCATCTGTCAGAGAGGCAAAACGCTTATGCGGAGTGGGCTGCTTGGCCATGGATCCTGGAGCAGCCTTCTCTGCCTTGTTGACCCTGCTCTGTGCCCTTTGGCTGGCTTCTCCTGCTGATCACCATAATACCTTCTTCACTCTGTTTTATTTTTATTTTATTTTTAATTGAGACAGAGTCTCACTCTGTCTCCCAGGCTGGGGTGCAGTGGTGCAATCTCAGCCCACTGCAATCTCCACCACTCTGGTTCAAATGATTCTCTTGCCTCAGGCTCCCAAGTAGCTGGGATTACAGGTATGCCCACCACGCCCGGCTAATTTTTGTATTTTTTAGTACAGACAGGGTTTTGCCATGTTGGTCAGGCTCGTCTCGAACCCCTGACCTCAAGTGATCTGCCCACCTCAGCCTCCCAATGTGTTGGGTTTACAGGCGTTAGACACAGTGCCAGATTCTTCGCTACATTTTAGGTTCTTTTTAGATTGTGCTCCACTGAGAGCTCAAGCAATACAGTCACTCAGGTTTTTGTAACTCTCCATGGTGCTCACCACAGCCCTTAAGCAAACAGGTCCACCCTAGGATGAAGTGGTGTCTACTGTTGAATTGATAAGCTCCTGTTTATTAACCTACTGGAGTTTCATTTTTCTCTTGGCCTTCAGGAAGCTCAGAGCTGAGTTCTGTGCTCAGTGGTAACATATTTCCCTGACTCTGATTTTTAAAAATATTATTTTTTAAAAATATTATTTTTCTGGCCGGGCGCCATGGCTCATCCTAGCACTGAAGTCAAGATTTCAAAAACCAGCCTGGGATTACAGGCTTGAGCCACCGCGCCAGCACTTTGGGAGGCCGAGGCGGGTGGATCACGAGGTCAAGAGATGGAGACCATCCTGGTCAACATGGTGAAACCCCGTCTCTACTAAAAATACAAAAAATTAGCTGGGCATGGTGGTGCGTGCCTGTAATCCCAGCTACTCAGGAGGCTGAGGCAGGAGAATTGCCTGAACCCAGGAGGCGGAGGTTGCGGTGAGCCGAGATCGCGCCATTGCTCTCCAGCCTGGGTAACATTAGCTGCGCGTGGTGGCCAGCGCCTGTAATCCCAGCTGCTCAGGAGGCTGAGGCAGCAGAATCACTTGAACCTGGGAGGCGGAGGTTGCCCTGGGCCGGGAGCGTGCCATTGCACTCCCGCCTGGCGACAGAGTGAAACTCCGTCTCAAAAAAAAAAAAAAAAAAAAATTCTTTCTGGGCATATCTCTTATTCAAACAGCTTTTTAAAAATAGTCTATTATTACTTGTTTCTTTTATTATGATTTTTACGCCTATTTTAATGCCATACCATTTCACTGCTGTATGCTTTAGTGTAAACTATGTCAAATCCTTTTGCCGGTAGGTGGAGTTTAAATTCTAAATAAAATAAGAAGCGATCTATAAAAGCAAAGAACCTGAGGACTTGAGTGGTGGTGGAGATTTTCCAGAATTATTAGTGTAGAAAATTAATTTCGATATTTTAGTGTATATGATTGTAAATAATACCTTTTACTCAAAATAATACTGTATTGAATTCAGGGGAGGGAATCTGATTTTACTTTCAACATCTGCTAGTAAATAAAAAACATTTCACAACCTTACAAAGTAATAGTGCTAGCCTGGGCCTGATAATTGCATATGTTATCACTGAAGATGATATTGTATTAAGTACTGAATTGAACTGTTTATGAACAGTGAGATTTTTATTTTGAGCTGAACCTAAATCTGATTTTAAAGAAATCACTGTCGCGCTTTTGTGTCCTCCGGGTTTTGATTTCCACTATGCGTCCTTCAAGGGCATCTCCCAGAAGGGGGCTGGGCTCATTAACTCGGCGACGCTGCAAAGCGTTTGTTCCTGTCTTCACGGCCCTTCCGCGGTCTCCCAAGGAGACAAGTGGAATGCCCACCAAGTCATGCTTTTCCATTACTCATTCCGCCTTCCCTCCCGAGGTGGCGCGTGGGAGGTGTTGCGCTCGGGTTCGGTAAGAATAGGCCCGGCAGCTTCCCGCGGGATGCGCTCATCCCTTAGCGGGGTTCCGCTCCCACCGCGCCGCGTTTGGCCGGTTCCGCCCGCGAGATGTTTTCCAGACGTACAATGACTCCACTCGCGACGCCTCCCATGTTGATCCCAGCTCCTCCGCGAGCATCTGGACCCCTAGGCCCCGCCTCGCTCTACTCAGTCAATCTTTTGTCCCCGGACGAGGAGGATTATCGGGGTGGGCTGGGCACGGCTGATGCCGACGAACGCCCTTGGGGGTCACCCGGGAGGGAACTCCGGCTCCGGCTTTGGCCAACCCTGCCCCCCAACACCGCGCCGGCACCGGGGCCACCAGGGGACGCTCGCATTCCCGCACCGCGCCGGCCCCCGGGGCCACCAGGGGGCGCTCGGGCGTCCCTGCAGCCCCCGGCAGCCGCCCCGCTCCCCGGCTCCCCCTGCAATTGGCCCGCGTCTCCGAGCTCTGCTCTGTGATTGGCTGCAGTCCCCGTCCGTCGCGGACGCCGGGGAGGGCCAAGGTGACGTGCAGAGGCCCAGCTCGGGGCGGTGTCTCGCGCCGGCGAGTGCGGGCGGAGTTTCGCGAGGACCGACGCGGGGCAGTCTGACGGCAGCCCTCCTGGGAGGTGCCCGCGCGCGTCGGAGCCGCTCCCAGTCCTCCGCAGCAGTCACCGCCGGCCGTCGCCGCGCCCCGGCCTCCAGCCCTCGCGCTCTCCCGCCCGCCGCCCACCTCCCGCCTCGATGCGGAGCCGGGCTGCTGCGTGATGGGGCTGCGGAGCGGCGCCCTGCGGCTCGCGGCGGCCGCTGCTCGCGCTGAGGTGCGAAGGTGCCCGGCCCCACGCGCCCCCGCGCGCCGCGGCTCCTGTTGACCCGGTCTGCCCGTCGGTCCGCACCGCGGCTGAGGTAAGGCGGCCAGGCTGGCGGCGGTTGGCGCCGCGGCCGCCGGACCGGGGAGGGGGCAGCTCCCGCGGTGGGGAGCGGCCGGGCGGGGTCTGACGGGAGGAAGCGCGGGGCGGGGGGCCGGGTGCGGGAGCCTCGCCCTCGGGGGTGGAAACCCCTCCCTCGGCCAGCTGCGAGTCCCGGGCTGGCGTCCAGCGGCCGGCTGGGGCCCCCGCAGTGCCCCGCACCGGCCCTCCGTTTCCCCCGCGCTGCCAGGCCCCGGCTGTGCCCAGCGCCCTCCAGACCCGCCGCTGTGTGGCGGTTTCCTGAGCTCCGCGCACGTTGCAGCACGGGGGAACGGCCCCGCTCCGTTTGAAGCCATCGTTTTTTTTTTTTCCCTTCTCCCTTTTCCCCCTTTATGGTGGGCATCGGGCTTCGGCTGGGGATGTGGGTGGTTATGCCTTTTTGCCAGGTGGAGATAGGAAAGGTCATCGCTTGGCACTGGGGGAGCCGAGGGCTCGAGGCCTGGAAAGAGGGGTGCGATGGGAAGGGAGGGGGCTTATTGGATGCTGGTCAGGTGTGAGGAAGGCTGGTGTGGCCTCGGCGTTCAGCACGGGGATTACTCGGGCAGCCATATTGGGAGGATGATCTGACAAATCCTTTAGGAGCCAAGTCCAGTTGCTGGAAGGCACCAAGTGACAGCCCTGGCAGCTTTCAGGGTGACTGGCCAGACCAGAAGCCAAGTTGTGGGGGTTGGGAGGCAGCTTGAGCAAGCTAGTCATTGTTCAGGCAACACAAAACATTCCCGGCCCTAACGCCAGGATGGAGCTTCCAGATCACTTTTTTTTCCCTTGATTGCTAAATGAGCTTCCAAGGTAAACCGCCGTCAAGATTCCATTCTTGTTGGGGTGAAATTCCCTGTTTTGTATTCATCTTCTGCGTCCAGTGCGGGGACTGTGGAATGCCCGCTGATGCTTTACAGGTGCGAAGGGCAATCTGAGGATTGCTAAGGCCCCTGTATCTGTATGGAGGCCTCTAGTAGCCATAGAGCATTGGATGGATAGATTTTCAGAGTTGCTCAACTTGCAGAGAAGAAGTAAACCAGAGTACTCTGATAGTGGGTGAGGCTTGCGGCGGCATTTCTGAGGACGCAGGCTGTCATCTTTGTGGAATCTCTAGGTAGCTGAAATTAGATTGTCAACATATCCCTTGCTCATATCTCTTACTGCTCTGGGCAGCTGTTCAGCCACCACTGAACATTCCGCTTTGTGTCGTGATGTGCCTGTCTGAGCCTGATGGAAGTGTGCTGATGAGATTTGGATAACTCTTCAGAGGTGATATCATGGTGGTTATTTTATTTTGAAGGCTGGCATTTTGTCTCCTTAGTTTAGTCAAACCAAATCTAGTTCTTGTCTTCCTCTAAGAAGTGAGGTGGTGCTTTCTGATTACGTTGGCATGGTTGTTGGATTATGGAGCAAGTGGAGTTGTGAATGTACCGTTTGAGGATGGAAGGTGAGAATTGCACTTAGGTTGGTGTAAAGCAGGTCTGGAGATGATCAGTAACTGGGTTCAGCATGAGTCTGTAGATCTGTCCTTTCCTACATCCTAGATGTAGGATGTGGAGAGATGGCATGCCTGCTTTCTTCTTTATGACCTTTGCTTTCATTCAAATTCAATTTCTTAATAAATAAATTCTCATAACTTTTTTTTTTCCTTTGCAGTGGCCTATGGAAAATTCTCATAACTTCTTAAGTTGAACTATTTAAAAAATTTTGGGCTGGGTGCGGTGGCTCATGCCTTGTAATCCCAACACTTTGGGAGGCTGAGGCAGGAGGATCCTTTGAGCTCAGGAATTCGAGACCACCCTGGGCAACACAGTGGGGCTCTTTCTCTACAAAAATAAATAAATAGCTGGGCATGGTGGCCCATGCCTGCTGTAGTCCCAGCTGTTTGGGAGGCTGAGGTGGCAGGTTTGCTTGTGGCCAGCCTGGGCAACAGCAAGACTCTGGCTCAGACAAAAACAAACCAACCAACCATAAAAAGAAAACCAACCTCCCCACATATATATATATATATATATATATATATATATGTATGTATGTGTGTGTGTATATATATACACACACGCATATGTATGTGTACATATATATATATATACACACACACACACACACACACATATACATACATACACA